ATCTCAAAGTATTTTTATTTATTGAATTTTTATTGAATTGATATTCAATTATTTTTTGTGAAATTACTCCACTAGTTTGTTATAATTATTAATACAAAGATCGAACACTCAGAAAAAATTCCTTCGATCCGGTCGGATTCGAACCGACGTCTTCTTGCATACCGTGCCAGACGCTATACCAACTAAGCCACGGAACGAACCAACGGACCTCACGAATTTTTCTATGTGCTTGCATCGTGTCTTTGTACTTGGTCTTTCAACGACTTTTTAGTCGTAGCGCCATCTATGAGAAATCTATGACAGATTTATCACCCAGTTAGTACCTTTACAGCTACAAATCCTGGCGAGAGATGGCGCTATTCACTGTATTAATTTTGTATTTTTATTTAATTTGAATTTTTATTTATTTGAAAGCTTATTTTTTTTGTTTATTTACCGTATAAAACAAACAATAATAAAATAAATTTTTCTAGTCGCATTTAAAAACCACTGAGGTTCGTCATAATGCGATGTTCGTCATAAAGTTGATGGTTCTTAGTTATGTTTGATAAACATTTATTCAGCTGTTTAATAAAAATCGTCAGCTCTTTTCTCAGTGTAGTGTGTATTTCAAGTGTATGTATATGTGATTTTAGTTTGAGTTTGTAGTGAGTGATCTCAGTTATAAAATGAATTGAAATTTGGTACACAATGAACATCCGGTCATTTTATAATAATATACCTTGAACTATTCACTACTACTACGACTACTCAACTCCTCAACTAATTACAATAGAACTATCTTGCTTGGGCTCATTAATCTACTCTTGACGAGTTGTTAGCTTACAGATGTTGACATTATTGACTTCTAGGGGTTCACTGACGCGATGGGCAAGCGGGTGAGTTTACTCCCCTAAACCCTTCAGTAAATATGGATACACAACAGAAAAGATGGCCCCGAGTTCCCAGCGGTGTAGCGGTACCTAACAAAGGCAACAGTGTGGGTAAAGGCGAAACCAGGGGTGCTAAAGTCTGTTTCAATCCATTTTGAACAAAAAGTAAACAAAACAATTTGGTTAAAATTCTAAAACAATCACTCAATAAATCGAATAAGTAACACTTTCAAGTATATTTCGAAGATTTCGACTTGATATCTCATCACTTTTTCCAACAATATTCAAAAAATCGTATTTTAAAAATGGTAATACAAAAGTGAGGTTATTTTTCATCTATACTTCTATGATTTGTCTATGGTTGCATAGTACTGTACGAAAAAAAAACAATCGGTTCATTCAATTAAAGTTTTTGTAATCGATTAGTAAATCGATATTTCAATCGCAATCAAACGAGTATCTAAGTGTAAAGATTTCATGGAGGATTTAAAATTAAGATTTGGGAAATTTTAAATATGCTTATATAGGTTATGTAAGAAAAACCGCAATAATGACTCAATCGAACAAATCCATTCATTCAATTAATTAATCGATTTGTAGTTGACATTACAATTGATCATCACTAAACCGTCTATGGTCGGGTCAATGACTTGTGTGTTTATATTTTGTTCAAAACGGATTGAAACGAAGCTTAAGAATCACTGAGTGAACAAAAGCTGTACACATTCGGGTACTAAATTGGCGGTACGACGATATCAAAGCAGTGGCGGGAACAAAGTGGTTAGACTTCAGCTCAAGACCGGGAAACATGGCATAAAATATACGCTATAAGCTTACCATCAGCGCCCTTCGAGTACAGTACAACAATGGTTTTCGGATTTTGTTGGGGCTGTCACGTTTCTGCAGTGCGTCAGACATGTTAGCGTTGATACATACGGAAGATTTTTATGCCATTATGCGTAAAAAGTCAGCCTCATTGCACTTTAGGTTGCGTGCCAGCTCCAACCCTGTACTGAAAACCATTGGCAGTAGATGCAATTCACCTTCTATGCGGCAGCTTTTTTAGCCTCGCGTATGAAGCGTAATTTGTATGTCAACTGTATTTTAAGTTATTTTTTTTAGTACTACTAACATAGTTTTTAAGAATCAACATTATTTACTAACAAACTGGACTATTTGTTGTCTGAAAAATAAAATTTATTATTATTATAAACTGCAGGAGGCCCTGCATCCTAAAGGTTGAGAACGGCTAAAGAAGAACAAGAAGGGGTACTGTTTTGTATCAGTTTTGCCGACTTAAAAAAAAGAAGGAGGTTCCTCAATTCGATTGTATTTTTTGAGTATAATTTACGCGAATTTGTGAAGCTATTTTAATGATTTTTTTTTTTTTTTTTTTTTTTTGTTGGATAGAGAGTACCTCAGTAGTGGTCCCATTTAAATTTCAAGGAAAGATTCCACCTCTAACGGTGGCAAACTACGTGATGAATCCGATTTCGCGCACTTTCTGGTAACTGATTTCAATGAAACTTGGCAAATAGATGTGATTCAACGAACTTTTGGGGTCGGTCTCTTTTATAAAAAAGTTATTTTTAAGTTTTGTTCACACTTTGTTCGAAATTTAAATATCAAAGACGTAACAATCACAAATATTTGATGCAAGCAATAACTCACACGGTGTAAGTTTAATGTTGCAACCCAGCCAAATTGGGTGGTCTGGCTCTTCCAGGCGAACGCGTTGGCGCCCGCCGCATATGAGCCGGGTCGAACCACTTAACTGTGAAATGTATAGTTTCGTACTTGTACGTTAACATGTTATAGTTGGGATGCCCTAATTGGAGGAACGCTTGCCTTTCATGCAGGAAGGTGCACTTTAATTCCTGGCACAGCTTTGCACAGCTGGATCTTGTTGATATAAAGGGTTTTCCATCAATTGCGGGTAGATATTGACAGTATATAGCGGCCATGTGCCCATATTGCTTGCCTTATCCCATGGGGAGACATGCGTGATGGTATATATGTGTATGATGAAACTTGTATTATGAATTGTTCTATGACAGATATAACTAGGACAGAAAAGGCAATACTTAGATTAAACTTGAAAACTCATACTCTAATAATTCTTTATTTCATAGGTTAGCAAAAAACACTTGAAGGGGATATTCCCTTGAGTGACGATTGTCAAAGTCAAATAATCATTTATTCCATAGGTAAAAATGTTTACACTTGAAATTGTCATTGTTTAAACTTCTGCTCGTTCACTACGCTGACCTCCCTGAGAAGAACGAGCAAGAAACTCTAGGAATGGCTCTTTTCAAATAAATTTAAGTGCTATGGAATACACTTTGAATCATAACTTAGTTCTAAGGTTAATATTATGGATATCTTCTTACTTAATGAAATTATGTATATTTTTACGGGCATACAAAATATTTGAATAAATGTACTGTGATGCCACACTCATGATACCAGTCTCCTTAAACTTTTCTAAGAGAGAAACCCGAGAACCTAAACGGTACACAGAACGAACCGCTCGTTACTGCAACACAAATATGGTTTGTATAACTGCCGGTTTACCCCACATGAGAATCCCATAGAACGTTATACTATGGAAGTAACTAAAGTAAACTAGTCTAGCATATCATATTAGCATGTCATACTGAACTGACGAATAAGAATTGATTGTATAGGTGACATTGACCTAAGCTGATTAGTGGTCATATTTAGTCAGCATTAACAGCCTGTATAGGCTTTGCTTGACTTAAATAATAAAGTATAATCTCGCTTTAAAAAATATGGCCAAACTTTTCATTCGTGGTTCTCTTTGTAGATAATAAATAATAATAACGCACATACTCACACATAGCCCCGCACTAGGAAAACCCTGTATCGGGTGCCAAGAACACACACTTTGGTAGACAACCACAAATTACACTCTAAAATCACGAGAGTAATGAATGTGGGCCTTACAAATATTTCTCCCGACCCGGGAATCGAACATCGAACTGCGTGGCAGTTCAGCATGTGACCGTTCGGCCACTGAGGCACTTTAATAATAATAGACGCTTGATTACTATATGAAAGGAATCAATATTATTAAAACATGCAAAAAATTCGGTCTAGGCATTGACATATCCGAATAATAAAGGCCAGATCAAAGATATCACGAATAAACAGGCGTGTATGAAAAGTCTGCTGCGGAAGACACATGTCGGGAGCGTAGTCGGTGAAGGGTCCATGGATTCTACACACCCATTGAGTGACAGGCGTGAATGTAAGTGTGTGTAAGTATGCCAGCCAAAGCGACGTCGGTCACATCGGTTTTATTCCCGACCACTTTACTTCGAGTCTGCATGCATTTAGTAGTAGTTTAGACTCCGGCAACTCATATACGAGCTAATTTGTGTCGTAAGCAATATAAGCGGAATAACCCAGGAATGCGCAATAAAATCCAGAACACAGTCCAGGACATATATCACAGTGAGCAACTCCGGAATGTAATATCTATTACTTGGACCGTGGCCTTGCGGAATCCGCTCATTTTTCTTCCTAGTGTCTCTTACTCTAGTGTCTATAACATTATCGCGCCACTAACTTATCTGCGTTACGATAAAAAATAAAGAATTAACAGTATCATAAGATAAGTAGTGCTACTCCCGCCTGTTCGGCGCGCCAATGCCTACACGTCCCTCGGACCGTAACATTGTCACATTAATACCATCGTCGTGTAGTTTTTATGATAAGTTTCTTTATGATATTGATATGTTTGCAAATTCTTTAAATTTACTACCTGCTTCCATTAAATTTAGTAACGACTCCGTGGTTAAGAAAATAGTGATAGAGCTGACATTCCATTGGTCCAGAATAATTTATTGCAACGCCACAACACGTAGATACAAAAAATAAAAAGTATTAATAAACAAAATAAAAAATTCAAAATGTTAGGTATATTTGTGTTAATGTTACATAGGAAAATTACGTTATATGTTTCAATAAATGGTACTATGGTTTATTTATATATGGTGTTCTATTTGATTGTATATGACAGTTTGTTACCTGAATAAATAAATAAATAATCATAGTTTATAAGCAATGAACTAGAATCTCACATTATTATGTATTTTGTTACAGTTCAAACGCTAACTGGAACCATGGATGTGAAAAACTTATGGTGAGTTGTGAAATTTAACTATTGTTGGATAGCGCGACTGTCTGAGCTACCTTCCATTCTATATGTCAGATTTCCACTATGGTGGTGTTGTTTAAAATAATTACGCTAATCATTGACTTACAATTATATGGACGTCGGGTCCGCGCTAAAAAGTGTCCGAACTTATAGGGCGTTAAAATCGTATACAGAGCGTCATTCACGCTTTAGTCTTCGTTTGTTCGACTGACAGCGAAGCAAGCAAAATTAGACAGTACTGCGATGACATTACAATTTAAATTCAACGTTTTAGCTTTTTCATATTCCTTTACATGTCACTACGTTTAAATAGGTTGACTTGGGACATTTTTTTCGTGGTTTTTGTATTAGACCCGTCGTCCATTTATTTATAAGTCAATGACGCTAATGTTATTTTTGAAGTAGGTTTATACTGTTGGAGGACCCAAAGACTGTTAACTTCTTAGAATTTTCAGCTATTCAATAAAAGGTAAACAAACTTTTCTCTCGGTGTAGTTAACAACTAAGTCAGGTCTCTCTCGCTGGGAACACGCAAACTTTCTCTTTTCCAACTGCCCTTTCTGTAAAAGATATTAGACCTTGTAGAATCTCTCTTTAACTTTACTAAGTACTGCTAAACGAAATGTTTATGTAACAAAATAATAATTTTGGACGATAGAGATATATATATATATATAGAATAATAGTTTTGGTACTTGTAAATTTACATTTTAAGAAAGAGATGTTATGAAATCAATGGAGATTTTGGATCGATTTTTGGCTTATTTTTTTTATGATTGTTTATTTAAATTTGTATTGAATTGATATTCAATTTTTTTTGTGAAATTACTACACTACGACGCTATACCAACTGGCTTAGTTGGTATAGCGTCTGGCACGGTATGCAAGAAGACGTCGGTTCGAATCCGACCGGATCGAAGGAATTTTTTCTGAGTGTTCGATCTTTGTATTAATAATTACTACACTAGTTTGTTATAATTATTAATACAAAGATCGAACGATTAGAAATAATTCCTTCGATCCGGCCGGATTCGAACCGCCGTCTTCTAGCAATCCGTGTCAGACGCTATGCCAACTAAGCAACGGAACGAACAAACAGACCTCACGAATTTTTCTATGTACTTGTTGTCGGATTTTTGTATTTGGTTTTCAACGAGTTTTAGCCGTAGCGCCATCTGTGAGATACCTATGAAAGTATTTCGTCACCCAGTTAGGTAACTTTACACTACCAGCCCTGTAATTAAATTTGTATTGAATAAATATTCAATTATTTTTTGTGGCCTACCTACTGAAAACAAATCAATATTGCTAAATTAAACGTAATGCATGACAGATCCAAACCAATATTATAAATGCGAAAATTTCTCTGTCTGTTACATTTTCACGACTAAACAGCAGAAACAATTTTGATCTTGTCACAAAAATAAATCTTAAAGGGGGTGAAATAGTATGAAAGTTTGTATGGATGGAGAACCAATAAAACTATGAAAATTAGTATAGTACAATACGATACCTCCAATGACTACACCATCTAATTTTTTTTCAAACTTTGCTTATATGTACATACAAACTGAAACTAAAAAGTTTACAATGTAATATGTATTTATATATTTTCTTCAAATTTAAATGGGCCCAATGCTGAAGTACCCTCTTTCCAACAAAAAAAGAATCGTCAAAATTGGTTCATAACTTCTGGAGTAATCGTATAACAAACACACGAAAAAAATCCTTCCTAATCTCCTTTAGGGAAACAGTCTTAGGAACCATTACGTCTTTTTTTTTGTAAAAACAAATTTGACATAGTAAATTTTTTGTTCAAGCGTGAATGTGAATTAATCCTCTCAAGTTCTTATAGGGATGGTATAGGATGAAAAAAATCTGAGCAGCAGAAGTTGGTCAAATTGAATAAAATATTTTTTTATACAATTCGTTACCTCAATAGAACCACTTACGCTAGTTGCCCTATATCTCCTATAGTTTTGGATTTGCCCATACTATCCCAATGTAATATTATTCGATGTACTACCTAGCAACCTAAAACTAAGATATATTGAACAGACACTGGTTACAAGGAAAGATTTTGCTATTATTAAATTCCTACTTTGTCTTTTCGTTGGATTAGGATCGTAACGACGACCGACCAATTTATCAGTCGGATGACCCGGGTCTTTACTCGGCTCGTCCGGAATTCCGGGATCCGGGATAATGCGGATTGCGATAATCGATGATTATCGTGGAAATTTTAAGCCCGGATTAGAAATGTGTGTCACGATTTTATCAACGAGTAGACTTTCAGTTGAAATGAAACGTTCATGCAAATGAGATCTTATACCAAAGGGATAACGTCTGTATAGCTTAATTTCAATCGCCTTATCTAGGAAATATATACCTTCTACATCTGCTTGCTTTTTCAAACCAGTCTGTAATAGTCCGTAAATATCGTTTACGTTTGCGTACAGTTATTAGGGCGCATTTATTGGACACGAATTTCGCGCAGTGACCGCGTGCATCTTACTGTCATGGCAAAGCGTCCGATTGGTTGTATTATTCCAAGGAATTTAATGTTGTTGTCTAGTAAATAGAATTCAGATTCGCCATTAATGTACCTGAAGGCGTGGTAACTGGGCGGCAGTCGCGCGGCGGCCGCGCGAAAACTTTCGTGTCGTGTAACTACGCGCTTACACTTTCAATGTACCTATTTCTATATGGCCGGTTATATACTTTTTGACGCAGACACTCATACTAGGGATATTATACACTAGGTAAACCCTGTGTCGCGGGTGCCATGGACACACACGTAGACAACCACACATCACACCCAAATTCAGGAGAGTAATAAATGTAGGCCATACAAATATTTCTCCCGGCACGGGAATCGAACCGAGACCTCTGCGTGCCAGTTCAGCATGGTAACCGTTCGGCCACGGAGGCAGCATATTGAACAACCTATAATCCGCCATGATTTTTTCTGCTTATGAGTACTTTCGAGAAAATTTATTCAGCAATATGAGGGAAAGCACCGCATTATATTTCAAACGTGCTTTTCAACAACTTGTGTACGTATTCAGAGAATTAAATCAGAGTAATACGAAACAAAAAACCCGTGTGGTCTCGTGGCTTGTATACCGGTTTACACGGTATCGCCATCTCTAAGGTCCCGGGTTCGATCTCGGGCCGGGTTTATGTACGAAAACTAACTTTTCTATATTATCTCGGGTCTGGATGTGTGTGGTACAGTCGTTGTTTCCGATTTCCTTAACACAAATGCTTTAGTTACTTACTTTGGAATCAGAGAAAGGCATGTGATGTTGTGTCATATTTTTTTTGAATAATCTCTGTACAGAGTACTAAAAAAACTGGCCTTTGAAATCGGTTACCGGAAAGTGCGCGAAACCGGATTCATCCCCTAGTTTGCCACCCTTAGAGGTGTAGTATTTTCTTCAAATTTAAATGGGACCTACACTGAGGTAACCTCTCAAAAATCGGACACAAAGAGTTATCGTGTAATACAAGAAAAAACAGTCGAATTGAGAACTTCCTCATTTTTTGAAGTCGGTTAAAATCATTTTCAATTAATAAGGTCATTGAAAATTTTTGCCTTGTAATTATTTTAGCGAATTTCAAATTTATTTAAACTTTGCTACATCCTGGACAGTAAAAATGTCATCAGGAACATAGTAAATAATAGAATAACTTTACCTCACTTCGCAAGAAAAAATGTCAAAAGTATAAAGCTTTCAGAATGAAAGCCACTCGACCTGGCAGCCTGGCAGCCATCGCATTCGCATCGAATATGTGCCGGCGACTTTTGTGAATCGAAAACTAATATCAGTCAGTCAAGAGCACATAAAGCTGGACTGTAGTGTCCATTCTACCGTTCTTAGTTTAAGCTGCATGGAGTTTATTTTAAATCTGTGTTGTGTCATGAAAAAATCATCCTCTATCTGGATAAACTAATAATTACATATATTAGGGACCACCTTACTATTTATTTTTGTCGTAATTATAGCATATTTTTTATTTCTATTGTCAGTAATTAGAAATAAATCTGCTTTTAAAAACTCCGTAACCAAGTTTTCAGTATTTTCTCGACGAGAAATGTTTTGTTGTAAAAATAAATAAAATTAATAATAATAACGCACACACTCAACACACATAGAACACTGTGTCACAGGTGCCATGGACACACACATAGACAACCACAAATTACAACCAAACACACGAGAGAAATAACAAATATTTCTCCCGGTCCGGGAATAGAAACCGGTACCTCTGCGTGGCAGACCAGCATGGTAACCGTTCGGCCACAAAGGTGGTTTGCAATTGCACGCACGCTGTGAATTATCAGGCGCATTACAGCTCTTTGCAACGATTGCAAAATAATCTTAATTGAAATCTTGTCACGAATTATATCCATCGTCGCCAAATCTACCAAAAAATATCACATCGCTCGCACGACGTCGAATTAATGGTAATAAATAGTATTTCTTTTTAAAAATAAAAGCCATTCGTAATTGGCACCAATTTATCAAAGCTCAGGCGGTTATCGTGCGCACACAACGGGAGACCGTAAAAATAGAAAAATGCACTACGGGACTCGAATTAAATATCACAAACGTTTCATTTTTATTGCTCTCCAGGGTTTAGGGATGTTTTTCGGCTTTTTCAATTCGGTTACCATTTCGTAAATATAAGTGTATACTAGATATAAATTGAGTTATTGAGTTATCAAATACACACACGGGCGCATTTAGCGGGGCACTAGAAAATAGCCTAGTTTATTTAAGATCTAATTTGAAATAATTTTTTTTTTTTCCACTTATTTGTTTTAACGCCCCACTAATAGAGGTTGTTTTTAATTTTGTGTCCTTTTTCGTGGAAGTGGTGATTGTGGAAACGCGGGTTATATTTATAAACTTGATGAAAGATTTGAGATTCTGGGACCAATAAAAAAAGAATTTGGGAACTGGAGGGACAGATCTAAA